GAATATTAACGACTTGTGATTTAAGCAGGGGCTAAAGCAGGGGTAGGCAACCTATGGCACGGGTGCCGAAGGCAGCACGTGAGCTGATTTTCAGTGGCACTCACACTGCCTGGGTCCTGGCCACCGGTCCGGGGGGCTCTGCATTTTAATTTAATTTTAAATTAAGCTTCTTAAACATTTTAAAAACCTTATTTACTTTACATACAACAATAGTTTAGTTATATATTATAGACATAGAAAGAGACCTTCTAAAAACGTTAAAATGTATTACTGGCACGCGAAACCTTAAATTAGAGTGAATAAATGAAGACTTGGCACACCACTTCTGAAAGGTTGCCGACCCCTGGGCTAGAGAGTAAAAGAGAAATGGGACTCCCTTGCACTTATTGAGCAACGTGGCCTGGTCATTGGTGACGCCAGATCATTTCTATAGCATCATTCTGAAGCTGTGTAACATCCCTGGGACTATGTTAATTAGCTCCCTTGCAAAAGGGCTTAAACCATAGAGCAAGATTACTCACGTGATGTCTCTGCGCTGATAGCAACCCTGAAGGAGGCAGGCAATCAGGTCACTGATAAACTCCACATCATCCCTGTGAAGAGCAGCTTCCAGTTCCTATTGAGAAGGGAAGACAGAAACAAAGATCAAATTCCTTAAAATACTCCCTTGGCAAACCAAGAGCAGGAAGTCTCAGATGGCCTAACTGATGCGTACTGTACCCGAGGGAGTGCCATCCTCTGGACCAGCCAGGCCGTTCCCCTGCAGCCACCGCCACAATCACAACTGAACTTGTCTTTTTATTTTTCTGTAGAAGTTTCATTCTTCCACATCAACTTCCACTATAATCAGTCCTCATTACTTTTTCCTTGCAAGGACTCATAAGTAAACCTTGAAAAGGTTTTACCACACACCTACTAGCACCAGCCCATGCCTTCTGTCCAGAAGCAGATATGGAAGATGGGGTGCCCCTGTTCCAGTGAGGTTGAGGCACTGCAATCTAGTAAGTAGCACAAAGCCTCTCCCATCCGAGGATGATGGGAGGCAGGAAGGCAGAAATTGAACAATTTAATTCTGTTGCCTGTATTTCCTCCTTAACCAGAGGAAGTTTTCCGTACTTATCAATGGTGAGCTCATTTAAAACACTTGTTCAGGAATACGGCCTGAAAATCCCACTCACCCAGGATGAGCAGCAATTTCAGATAGGCAAGCAGAGAAAGGAGAAAGCATGGTGGGAGGGACTGAGGCCACAGATGGAGTTGCTGCTCCTTTCCCTGAAGGGAAGCAGGGATTTTGCTCTCAGAAAACTTTTTTTAAAAGAGAAAAGGTGCTGTCAGACCACATGATCTGTCCCCAAACGCCCTTCCCTTGAAAGAACAGTGGAAAATAGCATGGCTTATTTCAGTACAAAGGAGTTCACTTACAATGTGTAATACAGGAAGTGACCTATAAAAAGGATAAACTTCTTAACCAGTGATTAATACAAATCTTGTACATACTGAGAGAATGTATTGGTAATTTTATTTCTATTGGTAATTCATAGATTTATATTTACTCAACGTAGCTAAAAGTTTATGCAATATCAAAAATACTTAATTTTAGTTCAAAAACTTCACAAGATGACACGAAGCAATCTGCTTTCCATTAGTAACTATTGATAGTGCACAGCAAGAGTTAATAGAATAAAATTTAGTATGGATAGATAGCCTAGTCATAAGACACTATTCTTTATGGTTTTAGTATATACAGTGGACTGAATACAGATTCATGGCTGGATGTTGCCCAACACACTATTAAATAAATGGTTATATTAATGGCTAGAGAATAAAGAATAATCAATAACGAGAAAAACATTTTAAGTGCCAAGAACTCTTTGATTAGACTCCTGATATTACAACAATAAAATTATTGATAACAGATTAAAATGATAAAATGCTGTTTTGTGTTTGTAAACGGAGCTCACCATATCCCTCGTGAGGGAGATAAACACATTTTACAAATAGGGAAACTGAGGCACAGAGAGGGTAAGTGACTTGCCTATGGCCACACTGCACATTAGTGGCAGAAAGGAATAGAGTCCTAGAAGTTACTTGTTTCCTACTCTAGCCACTAGACAATACTGATAATTAAAAGATTTTATGGCCCATGGTTATGCCTGCCATCACCTGCATGAGGTAATATTACCTCTATATTAATAGCAACTATGAGGTACATAAAAATTTGTTTGGTAAAATTCTGGCGGTATCTACCTTATGCAGGGCTTAAAGGTTACAGATTCCAATAAAATGTGCTTAGGGAAAAAAGGTAAGCAGTGTGACAAGACATCTGCCCGTTCAGATAACTTACCATGGACAAAGTCCAACTCACAGAGAATGTAGTGTTAGGACACAGGAAGAAAGGAGACCCCATGAGATTACTCCATTTAGGGCATACACCCCCAAAATCACCCTTGTCCGCAGGGCACTTACTTTTGTGCATTAAAGCAGTCACTCAGCATTCTGTCTTTGCCAGGATGTGGGAGCCTTTTGTAACAAGGTATATACAAATTGTTTCCCCTGAGCCTTTTCGATATGCTGTTTGACTAACACTCATCAAACAGTGGACACAATCCACTAAGATAGCCTAGTATCTACTGTGATTGTTTTCAAAGTATAGGGGGTGGGGGCAGAAAACTTCTGACCTTTACACAGTCAGAGTTCACCAGTCACTAGTGAAGATGCAATGTGCATTCTATAAGGCATTGGCAAAGTGCTGTTGAAGGAGGATGACATACATATGAGGAGTCAGACCAAACAGGACTGCAGTGGTATCAACCTATTTACCAAAACACAAAGCTAGGGCACTCCTAACATTACCTTTTCAGACAAGTCTCAGTCACTTTGCAACCAGTGGAGGAAAAAGGACAACTGGGCTTTAAAGCAGTTCTAAAGCTGCAACGCAAACACTTCACCCAAACTAAAACAGGAGTGGGATTAGGGAAGGAGGAAACTCAGCTGAGTTCTCATCTTCCAGAAGTTCAGCATCTCCGACTCTTGGGATCACTCCCCTCCACCCACACCAAATTTTAGGAAAGAGCAAGAAGAGGGGTTAGTCACCGTCTCAGTGTCAGCCCGACAATGTTTGACAGACCCAAACAGCTCTTGTGATCTTTTTGGTATCTGTTTAAAAAAGATAATGACTTGTAATCTTTCCCATAGGGATTTCTCTTTCTACTGTTGCGTGGGTGATGCAATGTGAACAGTCAGGCAGAAACAGGGTTTTTAGTTTAATTCCTACCGAGTGGTCCACTGACTGGTCTGTTTAATTTAATGTCATTTTTCTCCAGCCAGGCAAGATTTTAACCTAAAAGGCTAATCCTGCAGTTCTTCCACGTGCATAACTGTCACTGAAGTCAAGGGGAGTTGTGGGGATGGACACACGGCAGGATCACCACGCCCTGAAAGGGACTAAGCAGAGCGCAGCTCTAATGTTTCAGCTCGAGAACAAAGAATTAGCATGATACTCTTAATATGTTTTCATCTACTCCATTAACCCAGGTCTTGTATGAAGAGAGCAAGAACATTTTTAAACTTCAATCTGAGCAAGGGAAAATACAGCCAGGATGATAGCTAGTGCAGTGTTTAAGCAGGAGACAATAAAATGATACAGCAGGGAATTACAGTACTTCGAGAAGAAACTCTCACTGGAAAGACAAGGTTCTCACTAACTTTACCCCTCAGCGCTCCGTCCCAGAGCTCAGTCCTGGGATAGGGCAATAAGTGACTCTCCCTCCTCACCACCCTCCCTCAACCCTTTGTTTTTCCCTTTTCTCTTTGAGCACTGAGCTGTGAGCACAGAAATCTGAACCTTGCCAAAATGCTTTGGGGACAGAACAGAAAGGAAACAGAAGAGGCAGCAAATCAGCAGAGGGGGGACCCAGTTCCTCCTCCTCCTCTGTAGTTTCAGAGAGCAACGGACAGGAGAAAAGCAGGATTCTCCCCCTCTCCAGCTGGCGTCACAGCTCATTAGGGAAAAGCCTGTTTAACGTCTTTCCCTCCCCCCAGCCCCATGACTAAATCCCTCTGTGTCATGCAATGGCTGTTGGGAAAAAGCACATTGCACAGAGCAAGGGTAACCACCTCACCAAGGAGAAGCACTGGCCTGAAGCAGGGTTATCCGGGGGAGGCGAGAGGGCAGAAATAGATCCCTCAGCACTAGCTGGGAAATAGCTTGCAGTTCTGCTTTGAGAGATGTAGGTTGTCTGGCAGGCTAATACTCTGCCCTGCTTAGGAGTCACATTACTCCCCACTTTTCCCCTTACTGACAACCCCGGGCAGGTATAATTAACCTTTTCAGTGCTCTATTGGAAGCCCTGAAAGTCTGTGTGTGAAGTGAGTACTGTTAAGGAACTTTTATAAAACACATTCTGCCCTTGCTGCTGTGTCTTGTTGTTCTCAGTTTCTACCTCACTCCTTCCTGGAAGGGCCTGTAGGATACACATAGGTGCAGGGGCCTTTCCAGTAACTAGAGTGTTACAAGGACAGCTCAAAGGCAACTGTGCCTGCAGAATCCCCAAAAAAGCAGCTTTCAGCGTCCGGGTGAAGATAAAGCTGATCAACACATGCAGGTTACTGCTGGTGAACTCGAAGAACAAAATAATGAAAATTAGTGTGTTGGTATTGCAGCAACGAATATCCTAAAAACTGTTATAAACATCAACTCGGAGATGATACAGAAACCAGCAACGATGCTTGTGTCCATTTATTTCAGATGAAAGGGCAATTCAAGTTAACGGTGACACTCCAGCTCTCTGGCAAGCTGTCACTATGGACCACGGAGCACAACATTTGGGTGCTTTTGCTTCGGAAGCCAGGTCCCAAACCAGCAGCACTACAAGTTTAAGAACACAGAGAGCAGGTGCTCTGAAAGGCACACAGACTGGCCTGATGACGTAATGGGACAGAATTCTAATGCTATGTCTATGCTAGAGAACTCACTCGCCTGTAACTGAACTGGGTGACAGAATCAGTTTAGCACACAACTGATTAGGTATATCCATGCTCTCCACTGCAAATCAGTTTAATAACCCATGCTCTTTTGTCCTATGTTGACACTCTTGCTGTACTAAACTTTCAATGACAATGCCTTCTGAGTATTGATCCCACAGTTCCACACTTTCATCTACTCGGCATCTACAGTGTAGCTAAGACAGTGTAGTCTGAAACAGTTTCACCTGAGCCAGTTCTTGGACATGCTGAAAAGCAGCATCTACTCCAAACAGTCCGTGGAACACATAAAAACCCGATGAAACACTTTGCATGTGCGGACATCAGGGGTTTAAAAAGCATTCCTGAGGATTAGTTAAGTTCTTCACAGAGTACGTTTCCTCATCTGAGATATAGCTTCAGTGCCTCTGAAAAAGACTGCAAGCTTTTCTCTGAAAAAAATTAATTGGCCAGAAGATAAAGGGCATGCCACGTGGAGGGGTAAAGAAAGGAATATAGTTGTCCAGATTAGGCATAAAGATGGGGAGACCTGGAGTTGGTTTTTTATCACACTTCCAATCCACACTATTTATCCAAGGGTTCCCCAGGGCTGGCACATCTGCTTTACATCTCAGCCTGACCATTCCTACTTCC